TCCTGGGCCCCCTGTGGTCCGAATCGCTCGGTTTTCTTACCGACCATCCATGGCAGTCCCTACGAACCAGTTATTTGTTGTGATGAATGGGGGCGCTGTTCATCGTAACCCGGAAGTGGATTGGAAAGCCCACCACTGACCGTTACCCGCTTGGGAAGCTATTACAAGAAACCTGCTGAATTTCTGAATGTCCTGTTAGTGTGCCTTAATCGGAAGTCACTTATTATATTCATAATGTCATTTCAGCTTCGGCAAGAACAGTTTCCTTATGACGAAGGTAAATTTGCGTTTTTATTAAGTCTTACACGGTCCTAACACTCAACATCACATGGAGGTCGCATCATTATTTGAGATATTTGACAACAAATCCGAGGAATTCGTAGAATCATAGGAGGGTCTATGGTAGAATCAGTGCAAATCTACATGAAAAAATAACATTTTTTTGTTTATTTTACGATTCGTTGATACAAGAGTCACGTATAACTTGCTCTATTATTTACGTTGCATGGTGACGTTTTATCATTATTATTATTTTTTTACAGTGATAACAGAAATCTTCCCAAATATTAAATCCTGTCCGGGGTCATACTGTGGACGAATTGAAAGCGACACTGTATTTGAACACTGTGGTGAAAACGACACTGTATTTGGACCGTGTGGGGTACGTATTCGTTGGAATGGAATGAACCTAGTTTGAATCTGAATTCGTTCCATTAGGACAACCCGAGTACTTTTTTGTTCAGACCGACAATTGTGTTTGGCTGTGTCGGCATTCGTCTTTTACGATATAGTGAATCCCCTCCCGCCCCCTTCTTTTCACCCAGATGAATTTGTCGTTAGATGGCGCTATAATGAGGTGTGTTGCTTACACATTACTGTATATGATTATTTATTATAGAGAGTTTATTTACATGTCAGATTGGTGGTCTGTAATATGGGTATTAATACCGAATATTGTTAAATTTCTAGCTCCAAACAATAGAATTTACTGCTTCATAAAAAGCTGTATTTGCATTCATTTCAAAATATTTCTGCACTGTTGTTCAAACATTCATATTTGTTTCTGATTTGGGGTAATGAACATCACAAACATTGACTTGTTCAAAGTTATTGACGTCATTTTCCTTTGATGCAGATGCAGAAGTGTTATAGCGTGTGATGGAAATAGAATCTGTCACTGTATGCAAATGTTGCACAGTGTGAAACGTTTTCATGAATACCGATCAAAATAAATAAATAATAAACGTATTACAAAAATACTGCCATGCTATGTGTTGGTCAATAGTTTGCCAAACAAAGTGGTCCATCTAGTCTTCATGTCCTGAATACAGAGAACAATTAATGAATGAAATCCAAACAATATCTTTGATGTTCAACAATAACATACATATATGTGTTTATTAATAAATATTAATTAATCCTCTTTCTCCCAAGTCTTATGCACTTGCAGGCCAGTCGTTGACCATTGACCGTAACACTATACCCCATATCTACCAAGTCTGACTTTGTTGCAACAAATCATTGTACTCATAATCTCCTAAGTCTGATGACCTTGCAGGCACTGTACAGTTGTAACATGATGCCCCTGGAGGGTGATGACAGCTGCTGACTGTGGTCAAACTTGGCTGTCAGTGAAGGGAAATAAACATAGTACATAACTGGCATAGCTAGCTTTGCAGTACGTTGCGAAATATAGCAGTTTTTTCCTGCCATAAATATTACAGTTTTCAGCAGATCAGGACAGGCTTGGGCCATGGATCAAATAAGTAAGTACAAGAGGAACAGATTTGGACCGCAAAAAAGCAATTTGTATCTACCACCTTACATAATAAGGGATTGGTCAGTTACTTCAGCCTAGGGGGGGTCGGCAGATTCCATGTTGCCAGCTGTAAATCTCAGTTGACCCACCCCCTATCAAATAAAAAAAAGTGGGTGACCCCCCCAACATTATATTTTAAAACATGCTGACCCC